GGGTCGTTGACTGTGTGAGTGGTTGTAGGGGTAGTAGACTGTGTGAGTGGCTGTGAGGGTCGTTAACTGTGTGAGTGGTTGTGAGTGTCGTTGACTGTGTAAGTGATTGTGGGGGTCGTTGACTGTGTGAGTGGTTGTAGGGGTAGTAGACTGTGTGAGTGGCTGTGAGGGTCGTTAACTGTGTGAGTGGTTGTGAGTGTCGTTGACTGTGTAAGTGATTGTGGGGGTCGTTGACTGTGTGAGTGGTTGTAGGGGTAGTAGACTGTGTGAGTGGCTGTGAGGGTCGTTAACTGTGTGAGTGGTTGTGAGTGTCGTTGACTGTGTAAGTGATTGTGGGGGTCGTTGACTGTGTGAGTGGTTGTAGGGGTAGTAGACTGTGTGAGTGGCTGTGAGGGTCGTTAACTGTGTGAGTGGTTGTGAGTGTCGTTGACTGTGTAAGTGATTGTGGGGGTCGTTGACTGTGTGAGTGGTTGTAGGGGTAGTGGACTGTGTGAGTGGTTGTGGGGGTCGTTGACTGTTTGAGTGGTTGTGAGGGTTGTTGATTGTGTGAGTGGTTGTGGATGTAGTTGACTGTGAGAGTGGTTGTGGTGGTCGTTGACTGTGCGAGTGGTTATGGGAGATCATTAACTGTGTGAGTGGTTGTGGGGGTCGTTGACTGTGTGAGTGGTTGTGGGGGTCGTTGACTGTGTGAGTGGTTGTGGGAGATCGTTAACTGTGTGAGTTGTTGTGGGAGATCGGTAACTTTGTGAGTGGCTGTGAGGGTCGTTGACTGTGTGAGTGATTGTTGGGGTCGTTGACTGTGTGAGTGGTTGTGAGGGTTGTTGATTGTGTGAGTGGTTGTGGATGTAGTTGACTGTGAGAGTGGTTGTAGGGGACGTTGACTGTGCGAGTGGTTATGGGAGATCGTTAACTGTGTGAGTGGTTGTGGGGGTCGTTGACTGTGAGAGTGGTTGTGGGGGTCGTTGACTGTGTGAGTGGTTGTGGGAGATCGTTAACTGTGCGAGTGGTTGTAAGGGTAGTTAACTGTGTGAGTGGTTGTAAGGGTAGTTAACTGTGTGAGTGGTAGTGGGGGTCGTTGACTGTGTGAGTGGTCGTGGGGGTCGTTAACTGTGTGAGTGGTCGTGGGGGTCGTTAACTGTGTGATTGGTCGTGGGTCAAGTTTTAAGAAAAGCAGTTGCTATACGGACAGTTGACTTGTGCAGTACATCATGGTGACATTTTGGAACAAGTGTAAGACGTCTTTATGGAGCAGCAGAAGTGCCAGTCGGATACTGTACATAGAAATACAAACACGACTACCTTTCTACAAGCACCTAAAAAGATGTTAAATCACCACTATTGAAGTTTGTGGAGTCATCGAAAACCGTGCTCGACTCTGCGATGGCGCCTTCAGCAACGGCACTTTGATTTCTTGACCAATTTCTTGAAACTGATTATTTTTGGAAAGGGAATTGAACAAGCTTTCCTAGGAGTCTAGCTGCGCAAGACTCGGTTCGTAAATGTGGTATAAAACGGTGAGAATTATTTTTTTAAGAACACAAATGATGAATAGGAAATGAGAGTTCTACGTCACTTTATCCCTCCCTCTATATTTATTGTAAATCCCACCCTATCGGGATGGATCAGTGAGGGACCAGTGAGGGACTGATCCCATGACCTTCATGCGGTGGCGGCGGCTACGCATGAGTGATTTGCGGATATGGTTGACTGCCCCCGCCGCCGCCGCATGAAAGGTCATGGGGTCAGTCCCTCATTCATCACTGGTCCCTCACTGGTCCCTCACTGATCCATCCCGATAGGGAGGGATTTACTATAAATATAGAGAGAGGGATCCCCCTCCTCTACTCTTTTACTCCATACTTTATCCCTTCTACTCATTTTCCTTTCTGTTCTTCGTCTGCTGGATAACCGAAAGTAAAGCGGACGTAAAACCTAGCAATCAATCAATCAATCAAAAGTGACGTAGAACTCTCATTCCTATTCCTATTCATCACACACAAGGAACGTGTAGCTTTCGCGTTTTTCTCAAGTTGTGCACAGAGAACTCGAAATATTTGTGTATCATCTTCAATAGCATTCAAACCACTTCCGAAAAACGCTGAATGCACACGCTCCGCAAGTACAACTTCCTGGAACAACACAAATGGCAACTATCCCCATTTTACTAATAACAAAGAAAGGATTTCAACAGCTCCTAAAATCATTATTTCTTGACAAATTTCGTAAAACTATGTATTTTGGAAAGAGAATTGAACAAGCTTTCAAATGAGTTTAACATCGCAAAAATCGGTTCATAAATGTATGCGTCGGGTACAAATGAGATGTTAGTGAGTCAATGTATCGGTACAGTCATAGGTGGTGGGCACGTCTATCTTTTTTTTTTTTTGAATAGATAAGACTCAAAAAAAATATACGCCTCTGATTAGAGTAACTAAAATGTCTCACATATTATCTCCTTTGATCAGGTATAATTGCGATGTTTCTTTTATAATTAACATTAATTTTAAAATATAAATCTGACTCGTGCATAAAGGTATGTGATGATGCATTTAATCCTGGCTGGTTTCTTCCACGTGTATCTGCTCTTCCAACTTCAGTGTTTTGCATATAACTGTAAAGCCAAGACACTGCCATTCATTCGTAAAATGAATTACATTTTAATCTTATTTAATATTTCGAAGAATTTGTGACTACTACAACTATGTGACTTCTATAACTATTCGTGTACAACTGTTTCGAAATATGTTTTTTCCGGATATTTGTCAGGTCAACTCGAGTTTTAGAAATGCAAAGGTCACTTCCTGTTTACTAACCGCGGGATGATTTGTGTGTGCTTGTTATATTATGGTGAAAGATAGCCGTGCTTTGGTAATTATAGTGATATGTATCCACACTAAGTTATGTTCACTGTAGTACCATATTCTGTCAATGAAAAATGGCCTTTCGCGTACAATATTTCGATCGTTTTCATTGACTTTCATTTTCTAAATCTGTAACGACAGTAATCAAACTGTTTGTAGACACTTCGTCCATTTGTAAACGTATACTGTACAGTACTTTTGATAACTCATAGGCACCTGGCACTCTCTAGCTGACCCTAGCTTTCTTAACAAGTATGAACATATATTATAGATGACTTTAATCTGTGTCTGGGTAGGTAGGTATACATTTGATTCCATTTGAGGCTTTCAGGAACCTTGGTACAATGATTGTATGATTCTACTTCACTCCTAAAAAAGTTGCTAAATTTCAAGTGTCGACTTAAAACCCTGAATGTATTCTAGTTACTGTAAATACTTTATTAATATTTTGAGAGAACCGGTTGAGATAAACTTTCACTTAAGAGGATACACTGTCTGGATACAAGTCTGTGAATAAAAATCATTTCAACTTGGACATCATAAAAAAGTTCTTATGTTTAGCAAATGGCTTATTGCATCTACTCAAAGATAAATATAGGATATCCTAGTAAAATGATGGCTCTGAAGTTGTTGGTTCTTCCTGGAGAATAGTAAGAAGTTTGTATGTCATTCTCATAAAAAAAACTAATTGCTTCTGATCACTGACTCCACTACTACTAGACAAACTTTCTATTTAGCTCATGCTCATTCAGTGACTGGTAACAGCAGATATAGAGAAATTACAGTGTATATTTAAGTTATAGAGTTACAGTGTATAATTAAGTGTTAAACAAACATTGCAGTGTCATGAATGTGTTTGCTGTAGAGGAACAAAGTATGCAGTGGATACATTCAATCACTGGGAAAAAAAAATAGGCACTTGTTAACAGTTATGGCAGATGTTATATTGCTGATGCAGATTCTATACTATAGGTAATGTAAAAATGCTTTTTGTGTGGTTTATTTATAGGTTTTTTTTTTCGTTTTTAGATTCTGCATGCACAGGGATCAAATGAACACCTGGAGAAAAAAGTCAGCTGAACAGAAAGAAAATGTGATTTGTGGTGATGTCTACCTTAGAAGACAGTGTAACTGCCTTAATCAAACAACTTTGTGTGTTGCATGCAAATGACCCACGGAGGGCTTTCCTTAATCAGCCTACTCATTCAAAGTCTGAGATACAGAAACGACTCAAGAGGAAAGCATATGAAACAATATTTGCCTTTCTTGTTGGACCAATAAGGTACTTGATAAAAAGACAATTAAAAACGCGTAGGAATCAAGGGAATGTACCATATAAGCCAGTGAGCACTATTTAGTATTGATATTAAGTCATATTTACATGTAACAGTGATGAACTGATTATTTTTTGGCATACATTGGGAATGATGAAGATCATCAGTCTGAAATTATTCTATGATGTCATCATTTTCTTTGATAGTACCCTTATTTGACCGCACATAAGCCCCCTCTAGCAGTTAGCTAGGTAGAAATTAACGACAAAAGCAGTAATATTGAAGAGAAAAGTCTGATGTATGAATTTTTATCAATGAAATATAACAGGTATATCCTCTATATATTCTGCTGAAATTCCAGATAGTATTGGGTGAGCACTTCATCAATGTTTTTCATGACTGCAAAGCATAAGTGAAATATATTGAAAGTATCATTCCAGGATTTGAGATCTAACTGGTGATCATCAAGGAACATATTTGCAAAGGTCAAATGTGAATATTAATGTTCTGTGCTTTGGTTATAGATGGCAGTGGCAGATTTCCTTACAGAACAACCATGTGGAGGATGAACGTGTCCATATCCTTAGCTATGCTTTTGACCTGAGATGTAAGCGACGGTACGATGATGCAAATCGACTCGAAGAATTGCTGGAAAGTTTGGTTAACATCAGTAACACTGATGTCAGTGAGGACAAAAAAGGTATTCATTTTATTCTGTGGGTTCTAGTCAAGTGTACATATTGGTAACTTTGTCATCTTCAACCAGTTACTCAAACACTTGTTTATTTCATATAGTGTCTCCATAAACGGTTTGCTAACTTATAAACAGCCTCAATTATTAATAATCAAAAGATTACAGTTGATGTCAGTATATGTGCAGGAGTGTGCAATTCTAGTAATGTGCAATGTGGAATACGTTAATATAATGTATAATACGTACAATAGTGTATGATACAAAGTTACCGTATGTATTGTTTCTGGTCCGTTCAGTCTGCACATCAGAAAATGAACCTGATATGCGATCCATCCTTAAATTCCTGGTGCTGTTGGCCGACACGGGTCCACAAGAGATCAGAGATGTCATGGGGTATGAGACACAGCATCTTCCCAAATCGGTAGACAAGGTGAGTAAGGCTTCAAAAATTAAAAAAAATCAATAGAATCTATTTTCATGGTGCGTCCATGAAAATAGATTCTATTGTTTGGAAAATTAAATATGGTCCTCCAAAAATTGATGGATGCAATGATTGTGTGATTTTCTGGGTACTCTGTACATTTTAAGGCCAAACACCAGTAACATGTTTCCTCCTTTCTAACGACAGATTACAGTTAGTACAGTATTACATATCGACAGAACCAGAAACAAAAATAAATAACATATCTATACCAAACAGAAACAGGACTACATATCCTCAACAAAAGACTCCGAAATGTCTCTTTGCTAAAGACAAGTTCATTGAAATGAAACTAGGCAACATTTACCTAGTACTGACTTCTTTTTAAAGTTATTGTAGAATAAATTATTGTTTTGCGAAAGTTTATTGGGTTCAATTTGAAATATTTAGGAGTGTTGGCATGCACAACATTGTCAGGTATCTTATTCCATACAACTTCAGTTTGTAACATGCCAAAAAGCTATTGTAAACAAATAAACATTTTATAAAAGTAAATATATTTTCAATGTGGTTTATTCAAAACAAGAATGAAAGCTTAAGTAAACCTTGGTACAGGTTATCCATACAATTTGGAGGGTGGACTAAAACACATTAAGCATTTGGCACAAAAAGTAACACAGTACTTGTGAACAGAAAAAAAGGACACATTCTGAAGTATGTATTACAGCAGTACTATCAATGTGAATATTTACAAGTCATGCCATGAATAGTTACACATGCTGAAACAAGAAATATTTTACTTGCAAAAATATCCACGTTTTACAATATTGGCTAGTAAAACTTGAAATGTACATTTTTTTTGTCCAACCTTTATCAGATCGTGGGCTATTCAAATTGCCCTTCGCCCATCCATCATCTGTTCTTAAATTCGTCTTGTTATCGCTATTTCACAGAAAATACTCAAGGGACCTTTCTCAGATACTGATTTATTATGTAGATTCCCCTTGGTCTTTGTGCATGTTTACTTTTGAAACAGATTAGACAAACAAATTGACAAACAGGTGTCCATCTTGAATTTTGACAGTTAACATTTGTTATCCCAATTCTGAGACAGTACTGTAGGGATCTTTCTAAAATTTGATCTGTTTCGTCCCCTTTGTTAGAAATCCCCTGGCCCTAATGAGAGTTCATTCCTCATCAAAAGCACTACTAACTATGTGAGAGTTACACATTCTTAGCATATTACATATTCTTGTGCAGTTCTTGTATAATAACATTTGCCAAATAACATATGACATTGCAAGGTTTAAGTTAATGTACAAGTTTCCTATTTAGGATTCCAAATGGGACTAGGTAGTAATAGTATATGTAAGGAAAATGAAGAGCAAAGTAGGTAAAAGATAATCTTTTGGAGATCTGATAAAGATTCTTTGATGGTGGGCACCAAGATCCTTCAAAGATTCCTTGTTTTCTATATTGTGTCATTATGTATTTACAAAAATAACAAAAATAGTACATGTAGAAATATGCATGTTATCTAACTTTATAACAATATAAAGTTGTGTGATTACTCCTGCCATTACTGTTAAATGACTATGTACAGGTGGAGATGGGAGTGTTACCCTCAGGACCTATGTTGTATGGAGATACCAGTGTCTACAGACCTGACCACAAGTTCTACATGCACTTCCCAAGGTATGCCATATGACTACATATGTACCTCCTTCATACCAATATTTACTGTATAGTTATGCTTGATTTTACCAGTTAATAGTAACAATTAGGTCATATTGATCATGATATGTATGTGCCTTTGACATTTTAATATTCTGAATGGATTGTAAACTGTTCTAGGGCTGTGGAGTTGCTATCTGTGGGTGCAGGATAAGTGTAGTTAAAAAATAGGTGTTGTTTGGTTTACTTGTGCCTTGATATGTACAGGTAAATATTATATATACTATATCTTTAAATTTAATATAATTATTACCTGTTTTGTATGATAAAGAGTGTGACATGTAATAGTTGACCAAAAGGCATATATGACATATCTGCATCTTTCTGTGTACAATTAATGTATACCTTGGTTAATCCATATACATTTCCTCTTACTTCATCTAGTAAATTACAGAAATAGCATAACCGATGAATTATAAGGTCCCCGTTGTTTTATTGGGGGAGGAGAGCAATATAGTGTTACACATGACACATCCAGTGTGCTGCTGCGTTGTATCCTGTCCCAACTCACTGTCATGGGTGACCACTCTAGTGACTTCATTTCTTTACAAATAATATTTACCTGTGTATTTACAAATGTCAGGTACAAGAATACCTGGATGAGAATGTTTGTGTTAAGGGTTCCAATGTTTGTGTTTAAGGGTTCCAATGTTTGTGTTTAAGGGTTCCATTGTTTGTGTTTAAGGGTTCCAATGTTAGTGTTTAATGGTTCCAATGTTAGTGTTTAAGGGTTCTAATGTTTGTGTTTAAGGGTTCCACTGTTTGTGGTTAATGTTAGTGTTTAAGGGTTCCAAGGTTTGTGTTTAAGGGTTCCAATGTTAGGGTTTAAGGGTTCCAATGTTTGTGGTTAAGGGTTCCAATGTTAGTGTTTAATGGTTCCAATGTTAGTGTTTAAGGGGTCCAATGTTTGTGTTTAAGGGTTCCAGGGTTCCAATGTTTGTGTTTAAGGGTTCTAATGTTTGTGTTTAAGGGTTCCAATGTTAGGGTTTAAGGGTTCCAATGTTTGTGGTTAATGTTAGTGTTTAAGGGTTCCAATGTGTGTGTTTAAGGGTTCCAGCGTTCCAATGTTTGTGTTTAAGGGTTCCATTGTTTGTGTTTAAGGGTTCCAATGTTAGGGTTTAAGGGTTCCAATGTTTGTGTTAAGGGTTCCAATGTTAGTGTTTAAGGGGTCCAATGTTTGTGTTTAAGGGTTCCAATGTTTGTGGTTAAGGGTTCCAATGTTAGTGTTTAAGGGTTCCAATGCCAAAGCTAATGTCACCCTTACTATTTATAGAAATTAGTCAACCAATTCAGTAACATCACTCCAGCAGCTTCATTTGCTATTAGATTTTGATCACACTTTATACAAAGGACAAATATTAGCATACTTTGAATGAGTTTGTATTTTGGAATCAAATGATAATTTCAAAGTCACCCTTATAATTTAAAGAAATTTGTCAAAAAATTATGCTGATTTTTGTGGGATAATGGGCATTCAAGACGTTTTCTAGTTTCATTACAAACTCAGTAAATGTAAAACTACTATTGTAGTATCAGGATTGTTAGATTCAATTTTGCTTCGGTATGTAAAGTTAAGTTTTTAGCAAATTGCTCAATAGTGGGATACTGCTGATAATCAGTAGACAGTCATCTCTTTTTCTAGATTTCATTTTATTTCAGATTTTCAGTGAGATATTTGTGATATGCATATAATGTCTGGATTATTTCAGTTTGCTGTTTGAAGCAGAACCACTGCAGTTTGAAGATAAAGGGCTTCAGGTAAGGATATTAGGTGTGACTTTATAAATATTCATTAGGTTAAAGGCAAATCAAATTATATGAGAAATATAAACTTGTATCAAAATCTGCAGTATTAAGCCAGAATAAATATTGTTTGTGAAGAGTGAGATGTAATTCCGTTAGCAATGTACCTCTGGTATTGACGGGTACTGGGTAGTCCACATTCTACTGGTCATTTCCTATATCACTTTATTTATTTGATGGAACTGTTTTGGGCAACTGACTAGAGCTATCCAACTAAAGGTTGAGTTGAACATGTTACGTTTTTGAAAAGTTAGAATTCTTATGATGATAAAGTTCTGACTTATTATAATAAAGTTCTGGCTTATGATGATAAAGTTCTGGCTTATGATGATAAAGTTCTGGCTTATGATGATAAAGTTCTGGCTTATGATAATAAAGTTCTGGCTTATGATGATAAAGTTCTTGCTTATGATGATAAAGTTCTTGCTTATGATGATAAAGTTCTGGCTTATTATGATAAATTCTGGCTTATGGGGATAAAGTTCTGGCTTATGATGATAAAGTTCTGACTTATCATAATAAAGTTCTGACTTATTATGATAAAGTTCTTGCTTATGATGATAAAGTTCTGACTTATTATAATAAAGTTCTGGCTTATGATGATAAAGTTCTGGCTTATGATGATAAAGTTCTGGCTTATGATGATAAAGTTCTGGCTTATGATGATAAAGTTCTTGCTTATGATGATAAAGTTCTGGCTTATTATGATAAATTCTGGCTTATGGGGATAAAGTTCTGGCTTATGATGATAAAGTTCTGACTTATCATAATAAAGTTCTGACTTATTATGATAAAGTTCTTGCTTATGATGATAAAGTTCTGGCTTATGATGATAAAGTTCTGGCTTATGATGATAAAGTTCTGGCTTATTATGATAAATTCTGGCTTATGGTGATAAAGTTCTGACTTATGATGATAAAGTTCTTGCTTATGATGATAAAGTTCTGACTTATTATGATAAAGTTCTGACTTATTATAATAAAGTTCTGGCTTATGATGATAAAGTTCTGGCTTATTATGTAAACGGTTCTGATCAGAAGTAAAATATTGCTAACTACCCATTCGTAGAATTTAATTGTGAATGAGTCCTAAGGACTGTGACTCCTTTACTCAATTGGTACTAACTGACTGCAAAACTGGAACAGTAAATTATTTCACTGATTTTGTGATAGTTGTGAATGCATCTGATATGTATTTGTATTCGATATGTATTTGTATATATGTATGGTAGTTAATGTGACTTGGTTGTTGTTGGCAGATCTTCTGTCTTTCTCCTGGGGAGAGTTTGTCTGGGCAGGGTCTCTTTAATGTCAAGGTAAGTGGAAAGCATGTTTAAACTGAAACAAGTAACTAACTTACATAACATGCTCTTTTGTGAGATATTTGTTGAATGTGAGATATATAAATGCAGTGTTAAACAGGAAAAACAAGAGAAAAAATTCAACGTAAGGCAGACATTGTGATGGATATACTGATGAAGTTTTAAAACAATGGTTAGGTGGACTCATATATGACACAAGGCAAATCGGTTTTTAAATGCCAGAGGGCAACTTTTATAAGTTACATAACTCTTCTGTTTCATGTGTAAGTGAACAGGGATGTTGATTTGAGGGGCTACCTGGGTGACAGCTATGAGAGGTAGTGTCTGTATAATGTTTGAAGAACTGATACAGTCCACATTGGTGACTATTTATCAGGGTAACCCGGGTGACAGCTATGAGAGGTAGTGTCTGTATAATGTTTGAAGAACTGATACAGTTCACATTGGTGACTATTTATCAGGGTTACCTGGGTGACAGCTATGAGAAGCAGTGTAGTGGTACACTGTTTGGCGGACTGGTACAGAGCCAGATGGTGTCGCTACAGGACAGATTACAGTTACCCGACTTGGCAGATCCAGAAGACAGTGGGTAAGGACTCAACTTTGATTTGATAAATTATTTACACAGAAAGCTAGAAAACATCAAGGTCAAAGCCAAGGCAGCATGAATCATGTAAAAAAAAAATTTAATTGAATCAAGACCAGCTTATTTTAAAAGCTTTGGTCACTATTCATGTGGAGCTAAAATTAAGATTTACCAGTAGAATCAAATGAATTCAAATTCTTTTTATATTATCAGTTATTCACAGGATAATGCTAAATATGACCAATTTCATGATAGTACAAATTGATTTGTTAGCAAAATATAAGAATATTAAGATTGAATATATCTAAAAATAACAAAGTTTCTGTCATATACTTCATAGCAAACAGGTTTAATTTTAAATTCAAGATAAAAGTTTTAGTTGAATAAGTGATATAACTTTTGGTGTATTATTTTCAGCTACATAAGATAATTGTAAGCTTCGTATCTGTTATATGTCTGAGAACCTGTACTGATGGCTTAACTTGTAGAATGTTTGATGTCCGAATACCCAAAGTTCTGTCTGGCACCAGAAGTCAGGTATTTACCTATTTCTCATTTGTACACATTGGTAACTTTATGTAGTCCACTTAATCAAATGAAAAACATTGTTTAAGAGGGAATCATGACATAAATATCAAGAAAGCATTGACTTCAGCTCTCCAGAAATCATACTGGGTCATTAAGTCTGTCCCTTTTACATGTTCCCATGTCCATGTGATGGTCTATAGCCATACTTATATCTTCAATAAGAGTCATCAGTTTGGAAATATGTATACCAAAGTTTTACTTTCTACACAAACAAGGTACGTATTAAACGTATCGCAATGTTTCAGGACCGACTGGTCCCTTTTTCAAGCTATGACTGAGTTCTTGAAACATTATGACACGTTTAATATTACATTGTTTGTGTAGAAAGTAAAACTTTGACAGGCCTAGCCATTCTGTTTTTGCTGAGTGAAAAACTATTACACTGTATTTGATTTCGACAGTGTATGTTGAAATTGAATTTTACCAGTTAATAGGTGATTTTTATGATTTGTGATGATAAAAACCATGAACAAATTTGTAAGTAGCTCATTCTATTCAGCTTGCTGTGTTTTAAGTGGATCAGGACAAAAGATTTCAAAGCATGATGGTAAGACATGCCAAACAAAATTATCACGATGAAAGGATTGAAGCGACCACCAAAAACAAACCTAGAATTACATTTTCCAGAAAATGTGGAATGCTGCTTTCTTAATTTACAAGGCAAGATAAATATAAAAAAAAACACTTTACATCATCATGGTCCAAATAAGTATCTGCAGTTTCTTATTGTAGTAATTTATATAAATGTGTATTATAACACTCATATCACCAATGCCATGGCATAAACATAGAATGAACAATTGATAAATAATCAGGCTTTGATGAATAAATATACTATTACACAATTATGACTGGGCTTGTAAAGCTGAGGTGTAATGTGTGACTTGGTAAATATTTAGTTTTTTGGTTATCAAAAATTTGAATTGCGAAGATTTTGATCCATTGGGACATTCATGCTCTTATAGATATTTTAGTAGATGATAATACATTATATAAGTTCATTAACAGAGGTAATGTTCTGCATTATTTTGTCTACAAACATTTCTAACAACGCACATCGCACATTGTGTGCTCGCTGTGGTCATTTCAGTCAACGGTAGAAGATGACAGTGCTGTCCACAGTTTGGATATGACTGGCAGTACCCAGCTACCGCAGCTGGAAGGATCCAAGTCCCTTAGCTACATCAGTGACACAGACTCTGCTGTGGGATGCTCCATTTGGGAGGAAGCACTTGAATTCACCCTTAGTAAATACTTTCAATGGGAAACACGAGGTCGGTATGTACTGTTACAAATGCATGAGATTTCTATTCAGAGCTTCTGTTTGTACTTGTCATCCATCTTGCATTAGTAGTTTTTACAAAATCTCTGGTTCAGTATTTTCCTGTAGACAGCAAAATCTGTCTTAACCAAACACTACAAGGAACAATTTGCAGTGTTCAGATGACATAGAATAGGAATCAAAATTAGTTAAAACTCTTGATTTAGACAGGTCCTGGATTATACAGGTCTTAGATATAAACCGGCTACACTTTGTTCATTGTATAGCAATAACTGAACCTAAGAGAGACATAAAACACAGATGTTTAATGAGACTACAGATACTTCATTCTGACTGGTCAATTGTTTGTAGACATTGACTCTAAAGCATTAATGAATTTGGAGTATCCTGGTAAAGAAAGAAAGTGAGTGGGTAATATTTTTCTAGGATACTGGCAGTTCTTGATTTCTGATTCATTGTCAGAATTAATATATTGCTGTTCACTGGTGTGGTGCTATAAAGGTTTGTAAGGGATCTTATATTTTACTGGATCATATTTGAATAGAACCCCTTGACAAAAGGAGGTGATGCCATTATCATTTCCTGTATGCATTACACATTCTGAAATAAAATTGAAAATATGCACAGTATGCTGTAGCACTTGTAAAAGTGATTTATATGTATGAATGGATTCAATCAGTGCCATTCTGGTGTCTCTGGTTAACCTATGAATAATTCAGGTCACATAAATGTTTAAGATTGAAGTTGTCTATACACCATTTCCTTTGTGTTTAGTGAGCCCGGAACCACACTAGACCTCCCATACCTATCTGAGTGCGGGCCCACTGGCCTAGACATGTGGAACAGCATGAAGATGAAGGAACTGTCAATCATGTGTCCATCAGTACCACTACCGACCCTACATGTAAGGAGTGAGAGGAATGTTGTCCGAGACATTATCAATGTGATGATTGGAATACCCTCTACCACCTACCAGCTTATTCCTGTAAGTCGTCACTCGTTACTGTACTGTTGTCTGTGGCATAGATTGAATGTAATTGGTCCTCTACATGAATAATATTATGTTTGTTTAGCAAATGAATTGATATTTTGAAATATATATATTGCAATTTTCTTATTTGATAATTTGACAGATTGTTTGTAATATTAATCAGGAAACTCAATCCTTTGAGATGCTGGAAGGGGTCTACATCAGTGGAATGACACCAGAGTGTCTTCGTCGAGTCTCGCATGATTTTTTGGTGTGTGGTACATACTACAACCATCTAGTGCAGTTCTCCTTGCCTCCATTCGTCGACTCGTTCTACAGCAAGGGTCTTGTGTACCAGGCTTATTGTGGGGCCATACGGAAGTACCTCCAGCATTATAGAGGTGTAATACTGTCAATACCCCAAACCATGTCGTTATTGCGTCTCAAGTTTATCTGCCAGAAAATCTTCAACCAAATAAGGTACACAGATCATTCCTGTTAAATGGGAATTAGTAATATAATTATTTGTAGGGTATTCCTGTATAAGGAGAATCACTAGTAGATTATTTATTCTTTTTCTATAAATGATATAATTCCTTGTAGAGTTTTACTGCTTATAAGAAGAATTAATGAAAGAAATCTTGGTAGAGAATATCTGGGTATTTTTTAATGATACAATTGGAACTAGGTAGATATCATTAATTTATTAACACTTTTTTTTCTTTTTTTTGGATAATTTCACAAAGTAGTTATAGTAATTTCTTTCTCCCTTATATTTATTATAAAGCATTAATAAGTGGGGGATAGATCTATGATAGATGATATACAGGTGATTGATTGTGTCTACAATAAAAATGGGCCCAAGGAACAGGAAAAATGTTGTTGGATGTAATGAGGTCACAAAAACCTTTCTAGCTCCCCCTCATATATTTATTTTGTTGAGTAAATCAAAACTAATTTAATAGATAATGTACATGCTTGACTTAAGCATATTGTTGTTTATAGATTTCTTGCAAATTTATGCAAATGTACAACTATGGAGGACCTACTAGATGAGGACAATTTCCCAACAGTGAGTAAATACATGTATTATATATTTAAAAGTATTATTAGACATTTTGCACACAAATGCTATAAAATGTTGTCAAAGATACATCATATCATATATGATCTTTATCAACACCTGTTGTAGGGTTTGAGTTTAGCTGTACCCTCTGTGTTGTAGGGTGTGAGTTTAGCTGTACCTATGTGTCGTAGGGTGTGAGTCTAGTCTACCCTCTGTGTTGTAGGGTGTGAGTTTAGCTGTACCCTCTGTGTTGTAGGCTGTGAGTCTAGCTGTACCCTCTGTGTTGTAGGGAGTGAGTTTAGCTGTACCTATGTGTTGTAGGGCGTGAGTTTAGCTGTACCTATGTGTTGTAGGGAGTGAGTTTAGCTGTACCTATGTGTTGTAGGGAGTGAGTTTAGCTGTACCTATGTGTTGTAGGGTGTGAGGTTAGCTGTACCTATGTGTTGTAGGGTGTGAGTCTAGCTGTACCCTCTGTGCTGTAGGGTGTGAGTTTAGCTGTACCCTCTGTGTGTTGGGTGTGAGTCTAGCTGTACCCTCTGTGTGGTAGGGTGTGAGTGTAGCTGTACCCTCTGTGTGGTAGGGTGTGGGTGTAGCTGTACCCTCTGTGTTGTAGGGTGTGAGTTTAGCTGTACCTATGTGTTGTAGGGTGTGAGTCTGCTGAGCTACCTGTATCGAGAGTGTCTGGAATGTTCCAGTACTGATCACTACCCAATGATGATGTCCATCCTGCAGTCATCATCTGGACCCTACACCCTGTAAGTCATCCACTCAGTGACACATTATATTGGGCTCACCATATACTGTTTATACATTTATTTTTGTGAGTTATTTATTCTTGCACTCAATCAAAGAACGGTGAAATCAAGCATCTCAAACGTGTATTTGAGATGTAATCAGATATGTGTTACAGATTTTAATGAAGCAAACAAACATTCTGTCATTCACATTTAAGGTCAAAGATGTAAATTTACTATCAAAAAACTGAAAATTATATATATACATAGTGAAGATGTAAGACATTAAATTTAGAATTGAATGCTTGACGATACAGTTCTATGCAATGACTTAAGTTATTCTTTTCGGTGAATAGGTTTGTACAGGACTGGGTGTTTCACGGAATTTGTCAGGACATCTATGGAGAGTTCATGATAGAAATCCATGCAGACTACCTACAATTCAGAGGTTTGTATACCTAGCTTGCCTTCAATGCAGAGACAAATTTTTCATGCCTGCATCATTTTGGGGAGAGGGGACACGTAGTGTTGCCCATGTCTGTTGTTCTAGCTATTTCATTCCTGAAAGAATTTTGATCAATGATTTGGAGAGGTTGGTTTTGTCATTCTTATATAATTTATATATTTGCAGACAAGAACTACTGGGCGAATGGTTACAAGATGATGACCAAAAAAGAGTCCGATAGTGTACCACTGTTCCTCGCAGACCTCGCCTCAGATATATTCATCTGTGGCAAGTCCATCAATCTCCTCAAGGCGTGTTGTTCCCAGGTAGGCTTCACACAACATCATCCGGGCTTGATTTTGCTTTTGTTTTCATCTAACTTATGCAGAGCTTCAAGAAGAACTGCAACAATATATCTTATGTAGGTCACTGTGATCTATATTCTATGCTTCGCTGATCTTGGTTACACTTTGTATTTTGCTCCATTTCCGTCTAAGTGGGATTGAGGGCATATATATGTAGATACAGGAAAATAACTGGTTTGTTCATTTATGACTACAGTTTAAAACTCTGCATGTAAGCATGCTCATTCGTATGTACAAATATTTTAATCATTAACTTTACATTTTTCAGAATTTTCTGTGTAACATAGCTGACATTGACATACCCAGGATATCGGTCACATTCTCGGAGGAGGAACTTGGTAATCTAGATGGCCAGTGTCAGTTTTATGTCAACAAAATGAAGCAAATAGCACGGCAGTTGACCATCTCAAGGTACCGACTTTTAAATCATACATAGGTGTATTGTAAGCAGAGTATTTTGCCCAACACTCTGTAACATGACATGGAAATTGATGTTATTATTGACTTTATCCTCTAAATAAAATTACTTTAGCAGTAATCATATTTTGGTTTTGGTGCCAAATCAAATATGCTAAATTATGATAACCACATAATGTAAAATCATGTCATTCTCAGCATTAAAAGTAATTGCATTTTATATTCTAGACTTTAATGTAAAAGAAAAAAGGACTTGTTTTTCAGTGTTTACTAACATTAACTTGATCGGTTTCAGAAAACAGAAGGAAGAGATGGAAGAGGCTGCAAAGAAAGATATGTTACTTAAGGCAAAAGAAGTGGCCACGCAGGAGATACAGAAACTACAGAGTGAGTAATAGACATTAGCTTTATCTACATCCCATAAAATGCAAATAAAAATTGGAATCTGAAAAAACTAAAATATCAAAATACTGGTTTAATGTAGCAAATGAACTTCAGCAATGTTTAGCAAGTTATTGAGTAAAAAAAATGTGATCTATCTTATAGTTCTTGTGAACTACATAATGCATTTTTCTCAAATTTTATTTTTCTCTCTGTTTTGAAATGATAACAAAACTGTAATATCATTTTTATCATCTGATGCATCATATGATAAGCCTAATGTTGTATTTGTGTAAATAAAAGTGTGATATCATCACTGAACTGTATTTAGATTTAACCCGTATATGTCATTATTTAGAAATGAGAGAAACTACAATGACAATTTCTTATCATTGATTATGTTTACAGTATTAAATTTGTTAATCATTATCTTTATAGGTAGAATACAGGAGAACCGAAGAGTCCAGGACTCAAAGAAAAGGAAACAGTTCCAGTTCCTTAAGGATCAGATGGAAGCAGACTTACAGGTAGATCAATATTTTTTTTGATAAAGCACCGAAATACCCTATTGTATTAGTTATAATGTAAATCATACAATCTCATTCTCTAAATACTGAACATGTTATGTTGTTACATTGATTTGTTAGACTGCTGTTTTATGTGGCCAAAACTGTTAAAAGAAAAAGAATGGTATATTTAACATGAAACAGTCACTGTGTATTTACATTCATGTTTCTGACTGTATCAGAATTACTTTGAATATTATTTAAACATAGTGATTATTTGGGAATAGAATCAGCTCTACTTTATGTATACTAACTTTATTCAAAAGCATGGAACAACAAAATGAGTTGTTAATTAAAAAAAGTGCCCTTCAAATGTCATGTTACATAACTAGGGTAGTCACAATACGCCTGGAGTGTATGATAGTATATTGCATTACAGTTGGACTTTATCGCGATATGTGTTCAAATACATTGTCATGGGAAAAAGCTACTCAAAAAGAAACTGTTTCAAGACTGAATCATATATGTATAAGATGGATCACACAGGTTTTCGTAAAATCAACCATCACAAAATTTCAAAAGATTCACACCACAGTAATGGCCTGTTTATATCTGTTAGAATGTGTAGTGATTTGTACAGCTCAAACACCTAGCAGGAACATACAAATAAGCAACCTTTCATTTCTTGTGATACAATATGATATACCTGTGTAATTTTGATATACCAATGGATTGTTACAGCCCCAAACAGTGTCTACCTCTGCTGGATTTGTTCTGGCATTTGTATGTACTTCTTGTGTAATTTCAGAGAAGAGCAAATGTGAAAGAGCAAGTAAAGGAAGAGGACAAGATGATGATAGCTAGGGTGATGAAGGAGGAGGATACCATGACAGCTCATGAGCTAGAGCTGGAAAGGAAAGCCAGGTAGCTCACCACTAATTAACCAGTTTTAATTACAGGGAAATCAAATCGGTTTTTTGTGACAAAGAAAATATTATAATCATTTAAAGCTTTAAACTTTTTAAATTTCTTTTTGAGATGCATAAAATTTACTCTAATCTGAACAGCTTTTCCAGGGAAAAACTATGTGAAATACGAATACAATATTAATGGTAGTGTTGTTTTGTTGACAGGGAAGAGTTAATAGAATACTACAGCAAGCTGAGTGAGGAGGCAACCCTGAGAGAACAGCGGGCATTGTGGCATGTCAAACGAGCCCAGTTAGACCAGAGCAGACGTGACTTTCTACAGCGGGATAGTGTACACTGGCAGGCAGAACTTGAGAAGGCTGCTATTGTTACGGTATCTATGGAATTTGATGCCATTTAGGCTCTTTTGTCACCAATTTGAATTAACATGAACACAAAAAATTGTTGATTTTCAGGAGTGGATGTACAAATCTAAATCTATAATCATGGTTTCTGATGAGCAGTCAGACCCTGCTATAGAGGATTTATTACAGTTGAAGAAATTGCAGTTCTCATTTATTTTAAAGTTATATATTGGTTTCAAAGTGGCATAGAGGAGTGACTTTGAATTATGAGATGTTTTGAGTAACAAGGCTTTAATGAAAACAGTAACAACATCAGAAGATGAAATGTAAGGTTGTAAGAACTCAGATAATAAAGAGATTCAGTACACATGTACTTTCATGATAAAAACATTTACTGAACAGTTGCTAGGCTAAACTCATGGATTACTTTGCTGTTTTCATTTAGGAATCCATTACTGCACAGAAGCCAGAAGATGTGAGTAAATTATTTCCCATATGTTATGGGTACTTAATCTTAACCTTGGCATGATTGTGTAGTAATAGAACCAATTGTGGAACATTCTGATACCTCTGATAATGGAAATGGTATCAAAGGTTTTATGACTGACTAAAACTATTCTATTTGTGATAGTTGTCATTATAGATGTGGTTTTTATTTGTGATAGTCGTCGTGATAGATTTGGTTTCTATTCGTGATAATCGTCATGATAGATTTGGTTTTTATTTGTGATAGTCGTCATGATAGATTTGGTTTCTATTCGTGATAGTCGTCATGACAGATTTGGTTTCTATTCGTGATTGTCGTCATGATAGATTTGGATTTTATTTGTGATAGACGTCATGATAAATTTGGTTTTTATTTGTGATAGACGTCATGATAAATTTGGTTTTTATTTGTGATAGGCGTCGTGATAGATTTGGTTTCTATTCGTGATAGTCGTCATGATAGATTTGGTTTTTATTTGTGATAGCCCTCATTAATTATAGATCTTTTGTTTACCCTATCATAGCTTTTACTGAGGTTTTTATTTTTGTTAAATATTGTTTTTTTTATTACATGACATTGTACTTGTATTCTACATTTCCTGTTTAAGCTCAACTGGTGTGAAGGGCCAAGTGTGACTTGGTGTCTGTTATGGATCAGTCGTCAGACAAATCCTCCTTTAAAATCCTACTAGCTTGTCTTTATGCTGCTATATTTTGTACCATAAAGTTGTAAAGAGCTTTTAACATATGTTTTTCATTGAATTGTAACTTTGAATAATATTTATGATTTAAATATCTTCAACTTGACACCAACAGATAAGTACAGACACAGCCCTTCTTCCAACCTTGGCAGTGGGAGAAGGGAGAGGCGGACCCACTGTTGTGAGTGATGAAGGCGACGCCGATCTCCCTGGATGGGCACAGCGAGGACTAACAAGTACTAGTACCCTAACTGTTGACTCCAGTATGCCTGCCTGGGCTCAACAAGAGTTACCAGCGTAAGTATGTCTTGTTACTATGTTCCCTGAAACAAAGGTAAAAGGGATATGCTGAAATCGGGTGTCCAACCATCCATAGACACAAGTTTGTTAGTGAATAAGGTAGTTGTTTACGGTGTCTTTTTATTTTTTTGGGACATTTTTTTGCAGATATGCTCTTCTTCATAAAAAATGGTAGATAACTTTAATTTGCTTTACATTACAAAAGATTTTTAGAAGTTATGCCTCTTTTCTTTGGGCTTTTGATTTATATTTCATGTTGGCATGCATATATTTTAATGAAACTGTAATCTTTATCAGTTTGCACAATAGTTGTTAACTGTTATGTATTTTTCCTATCAACACCTTTTGGTAGAGTTATGCCCTATATGAACTATTGGATTGATACCAAGGCTGTTTCTCTCCTTCTTTGTGACAACTGTTATCAATCACTTGTTAATAACATGTTGTCTTGTACTGCTTGAAGTTTATTTGATGTAGCAGAAGATTTTCTTCAACACCAGATTTAATGGTTTCTAACACTCCTACCTTTGAACAGGTCAGACACAGAAGGAAGAGATTTAACCCCAGGGAAGACCAAGTCCCCTCGCCGCTCCCTCCCTTCTCCTCCATCCCGCCCAGCAGGGCGACCTTCCACACCCACACTGAAAAGACCTCCAACTCCGACCTTAAAAACTGGCAAACGCTTGAGTGATACATTTTACGCAACAGCTCAAACTGAAGAATGTGCTCTTAAATCAAGTATTCATGTTTTCCCAGAAAAACATGCTACCACAGAAACGGACCCAGATGACGTACACAAATCACAAATTAAGCAGGTGCAAAATATCAGTGTTAACATGGAGAGTGAAGAACAACAGGAGTGCTTACACATAAGAATGGCGGACGGAATGCATGCCACCAAAGAGACAGAGTCACATGAGGAAGTGGTGCCCCACAGAAAACCTAACATGGAAATGAATATCAACAAACAATCAACAGAGGAGAGGCAGCTTCCTCGCATGAAGAAAAATGCAGAAATGCATGGTACAAAACAGACAGAATCAACTGAGTGGCTCATAAAAAAACCTAGCACTTTTGGTCAGGTGTCAAAAATGTCTGCTTTGGGGGACGAATTTGTGATCCAGGCTCCAAGACTGAAAAAGTTTGAACATTTTCATTCTTCTATGGAATCCAAATTCAGCAAAGACTTCGGAATTAAACCCCGAATCAGAATGAGTAAGACCATGTCCTCAACCACCGAGTCTAAATATGTAGAGGACAGTAGGCCCAGAATCAAGATGGGTAAAATGTCTGCCTCAATGGAGAGCGAAAGGATTGATCATGATGAAAACAGACTTGAGAAATTTAAATCTTTGAATGTGCATGGTCATTCATCAGACTCAACTGTTCAGAAGCTGTTGTATGGTGACAGAAAAGCCATGCAGGAGGTCAAGGAGCAAGGTAAATATAGAGAACTTTAAAAAAATATCAGGCTGTTTGGCATTTGCAGGGAATGTCGGACATATCAAAATAGGGGCTTGGTCAGATCCAGTATCATCTTTCTAACCCATCAATGAACTTATTTATGAAATGCGTTTATTGATGAGGAATGTTGAATCTTCATTTTTGAATGAGTCTTCTTTATAGAAAATCTGTAAGGACAATTTAAACATTTTCAAAAATATGTCATGGTGATATGTTTGTTTTATAAAGACATTTACGAATATAATGAGGTACATTCTCCCCTAAATGATGTACATTCTCCCCTAAATGATGTACTTGTCATAAAAATTATTTTTATTTAGTGAGGTATGGGAGAAATCAGATATCATATCCAACTTGTATTAATGGATGACTATTTTATTCTTAATTTATTACTTTATAATCTACTCATTGAAAATTTGAGAATAAACTCATTCATTGTGATGATGCAAGTGGATAGCACTGAATAAAATGAATAAAAAAATCAGATTTCATTTATTCTTCTCTAGAAGTATAGGTAGGATCAACTGTTTTCCAAAGTGATTTTTATACAAAATATAAATTTTGTAATTTTTTTCCAGAACTTGGTGACATCAGAGAACCCCCTGTTTGGGCTGACTCACCCGCCACACAAATGTTCACATACGAGGACAACTTTGAACACTTAAGTAAGTCTACAAGCTACCCGTTGACTTAATTAACATTTCCTTACATCAAATACCAAGGAATTCATTTTTGAAAAGCATTTGTCATATAGCCAGCAGTAAACCATGTTATAATGAACACATATGTAACTACACTGCAGTTAGTATGAGCTTCAAACTTAAATACTTGGACCAGTAAATCAATGCCCGACCAGCTGGTAGCAAAGTCATAAATACAATTTTTCAAAATATTTCATTATCCTGAGACAATCATTTTGAATTGCACTACATCTAAAATTAAGTTACAAAGAACTATGTATGGTTTGGGCGTGTTTTGGCCCCCAAATGCATCAAAATTCAAAACCTTTAAATGAACTTTGAAATGACTGCTTCTTTAATTTTGAATACTTCCCAAATGCTATTATGAAAATATTTATTTATATTTCTTAAATATTGTTGCCATGGTAACAAGCAAATTTGAAAAATTTGAATATGAGTGAATATTGTGATATTTTGCATAGTTTTTCTCCTAGAAACTATAGATTGTATGCTTGAACAAACATAATATTAAAGGATAATGTGTAGGCAGCTGTAATACATCTTTAGGAGAAATATAAAGTTTGTTCAAGAGTGCGCTCTATGGTAGCTAAGAGAAAAACTAGGTGAAAACCTGTCAAAATCGACTGAATAATCAAATTTCAATAATTTATGCAAATATGACCTGGTTATATTACCATGGCAGCCAAAATTGAAAACACAAATAAATGTTTACATAATAGTACTGTGGAAGTATTCAAAATTAAACAAACCGTCGTTTAAAAGTTCTATTGCAGATATTTAATTTTGATTGATTTGGGGGCCAAAAAAGGCACAAACCAGACATAGTCCTTTAATGGCCTAAAGCTAATTAGACTTTCAACAAATGGGCCAAGATAGTATTCTACTCAACTGACATTACATATATTTAAATGATATTAATAAGAACTAGATTTTGTACCATGGGATTCCTTATAAGTGTGTTTTTCCGAATTTTGAATCTATGTTTAAAATTAACATAAATTCTTATTTTAGAATTTTGTCAAACAACAAACAAGTACATGTATCTGTTGATTAATTTACAGCTAATACACCTGTGGTCGATCTTCTCTCATCAAAGGAATTGTCTGCATATGGCAGGTTTGGTGACTACGGTATCAGCCAGAGTGCTGACGTGGATATGTACCGCTACATGCCTCTTCCTCAGCTGCTGGAGCGATCCGTCACTGCACCTCTGTTAGCTCAGTAAGTTGGTCATTCTTCATGGCCCAACAATGTGACAAAGTCATACAGGGCTAAGTCATAGATGTTATGTAGATGACAGATGAATGTCTGAATGTTAAGAGATATGTTTCAACAGTAGGTGACAGGTGTATGTCTAGAATGGCTGAAGGCATTTTGACTGAATTTGGTATGTTTTATGAACGAAGAGTGGACCAATAGAGAAAAAAGCTGCAAATCCTTAAAAGACTACTCCTGAGGTTCAGGTCTTTGTGTTGTTCAATGTTGTATAAATGTTTCAATAAGAAATCTAAGATGGTCACCATGGTTTCATATGTTCAGAAATTTTAAAAACAATATTGAAAAATGAAAACAGGTTATTTGATGAAATAACACAATAGTCATATTGTATCAAAGGGTCTTACATTTAATTAATTGTAATATTAATTGCATGATAATTGTAACAGCATACAGGTGTTACCGTTTTCTGTGTGTCCCTATCTGACAGCTTTACTTGTTCTGTGTAGGATCTCGCTGGTAAATGATAATGTGATCAACTACTTCACTGTGGATATGGAGATAAAGAACCACTTCAAGGCTCTCCGACGCTATCTGTTTATGGGAGATGGAGACTTTGCACAAATCCTTAGTGACATTCTTCTTGAAAAGGTATGGCCTATTGCTACATTTCACTAAATTGAATAGAGGTGTTGTATATATAACCCATGACTACCATTGATTAATAGGTTGCTTTCGTGTATCAAGGTTGAAATGGTTCAGGTTGGGCAGAAATATTTTGCGATAAACGAACGTATAGGCAGCGCTATAAATAACAATATATCAAGACTTGGTATGTCATTCTTTCATGTATTCAATAGATATTATAACATTTCCTATATCCTTCAAAAATACATGTGAATTGACCTTGCTTTATGTTGTCATTGACTTGTAGCTTGCCAATAGTCCAAAGGCACAAGAGATGTTGAACCCCGTATTTTTGAACAGTGCTCTCAACAAGGCCCTGAAGTCGTCCATGCATGCTGATGATCCATTTGCAGACAACCTCAGTTTTGCCTTACGATACGTCCCTAAAGTCCTGATGCAGAATGGTATGTTAACATTGGTCAGCAAGTTTTCCTTTTGATTTAGTAATATGTCTATGCAAATTTTAGTTTCAATTCCAATCATCCCTAGATTAAATAATGCTATTAAATATATTTGAAGTAATATATCATATTTTGAAGATTGATGAAGATTTGTGATATATTTTACTTTTTTTTCATTTCAGCCTATGACACTTTAGACTGTTTAGAGCTACGATACAAGGTTTGTTTTGGTAGATCACCAAAGATTTCTCGTTAATGAATTTATATGGTATATGTTAATAATAAGATCTTGAACTGTGTTACAGTCACTATTATAAATGTCCTTGTATCAACACACATATTGCCACATATTGCCAGTATTTGTAATGGTGTAGGAGGTCTACTCACATGTGTTGGTTGTGGCAGTATTTGTAGTGGTGTAGGAGGTCTACTCACATGTGTTGGTTGTAGCAATGTACCAAGTATAGTTTATCATGCAGGAAGCATACTTGATCACTTTTTGCTTTCATGCTTACAGTTGATTATAATGTGTTATGTGTTATTTACAATCAGGTGACCTGGCCACTGAACATTGTAATAACCGACTCCTTGATCAGCAAGTACAGCAAGGTCTTCTCCTTCATGCTTCAGCTGAAACGCACAGTGTGGGTCCTAAAGGACGTCTGGTACAGACTCAAACGTGATGGTCAGGATATTTCTTGTTTATGCTTGATGATTGAATTACATATTTCCAAAGACATAATATTTCATAAACATGTATGTAGTTACATTGAGAATTTATGTTAAACTTTAAACAAATCAGGGTTATACCTCGCAGGGAAAGGGTCTACACTTGTTAATAAGCAGTATATTTTGTTCAAATATTTCAGTTCTTCCCACAAGTGAGATCAGGTATTGGGTATTTAGTCCAACTTGTATTGTCTAATATAATGCATTTTTATTGTAGCTATGGTTCACAAGGCGGGAGGCTCCTCACACTTTCGTCAGCTACAGCTCCATAGGTAGGCATGCTTCCATTTTAAATGTCTGATCAATTTAACAACGCATGGGCCGCATTCGTTTATTGCAATCCAAATGGTTGAACCGGTAGGACGAAGAGGCCTTTGTTTTTAGCTCACCTGGCACGAAGTGCCAAGTGAGCTTTTGCCGTGGCGCGGCGTCCGTCGTCCGTCCGTCCGTCTGTCCGTCGTCCGTCCGTCGTCCGGCGTCAATATTTTACTTTAAACGACTTCTTCTTAATAACCGAAAGGCCTAGGGTGTCAATATTTGGCCAGAAGCAAACTTGGATGAAGGGCTACAAAGTTTGTTCAAATAAATGACCTTCACCTATTTTCAAGGTCACAGGGGTC